CTTTATGGACTGTCCATGAAAGGCATTTAAGTGACCTGCAAGCTGTAATTATAACTGTTTAAGCATCTTTTGTCACTTTTAGCATATTATTTGTTCACACAGGATTGTACCTGCTTTATTTTTAAATGTAGCAAAATTTTCTTGGAAAAAACCTGAAAAACTCTGATTTAGGAACTCTTTTGTTAAGTTTAGCCAGTATTTTCTCAGGCTTTAGCTGTTGTGCAGCCCTTGCTGAGTTTATTTTATGTCCATGGAATGGATGCAGACCAACTCTTTTGTTTCTGACAGGTAAAACTATACTTCCCTAGGCATTGAGAGCATTCAGTCTCATGCAGTTTCATATTTTTCCTAACTCCTTTGTTTTTTGGATGTGAACTCTTGTTCTACCTTGAAAAATATTTTGCACTGTACTTGGACTGGTTACTAAAATCCAAATGACCTCATTTCAGTTTAGAACGCATTGTGGGAAAAAGATGACAATTAAGACATAAAAATTTTGGTTTGTGCATTTATGTTTTCTTTTTCTCCTAAGGAATATTGAAGTGAAATTGAATGTAACTTGACTTGAGGTTTGTTTAAGCTCAACAGTCATTGGGTTATTGCAGTTACTTTCAGAGAATTTTTATCTTAAAAATCTTTGGCATTAAACCAGAAGGCATTCTAGCTTTCTTCTCTTTCGTCTCTAAGCTTATGACTTGCTTGTGCAATTGTTGCATGAAAGCAGTTCTACATTTTTTTCTCTTATAGGAAAACAGATGGAGAAGAATTTATCTGCAGTTGGGATTTGCTGCTTATAATTTATTTCACAGGATCAAGCAAAAGATAACTGTGAGCTCACACTAGTCAAGCTTCCAGGACGCCATCACTTCCAAATTATATATATTTTTGAGATTACAGTTATGGAGACACACGGGTAGAAAGCCATTGAGGCATTTTTCAGATTTCTGTGAGTTCTTTATGCTTCTCTGCAGCTATACAGCACATTCCTAGTGCTCTCTCTTGACTGGGTGGCTCCCATTAATACAAATACATTTCATATTCTGTTTCCCAGCTTTCTGAAGGTCTTGGTACAGAAAAAATAGTCTACACACCTATAGGAGCTGCTCCACTCTCCACAGCCTGCACAAAGTCGTGTCACTCCACCATATGCTCAGATTCTACAAACAGGATGGAAATCATTCTGACATGAGCTTATTACAGACCCCCCATTCCTCAGTGGAAATTTTTCTGGTATGTCCTATTGTTTTAGCATTACATTTTATTATTTTTTCATTAATACAGTAGGAAAATCACATTGCTTCCAGGACACGTTGATGCTAGTCAGGACGCTCTGGAGGCTAACAATGAGTCAGGACTCTGGACTGAGACCAAGCTTTTCTTCCATTGAGCTCTGCTCTTTTTTCTCCCTCCTTAAGGAACTGGCTTTTATTGGCCTCTTTAGCTTTGGATTAACTTACATCATACATTTCATAGTATATATATTCCAGTAAGAGAATACGCACAGCGCCATGCAAATTAACCTCCTAATCAAATTAAAAGGTTGAATGACTTATACAGAGCAGCTTGGAGAAGAGCTCCACACGTCAACACGATGGTTCACGTCACAAGCCTCAGGAGACACCACCTCCAGTGCACCCAGGGAGTGATACAGCCAAACCACCTTGAGTGAAAATGCTGAAAGAGGTGTGACAGAAAGCTGTGCAGAGAGCACTCCTTCCTTCCCTGTGGGCTCTGACACATCAAGTGAAGCACCAAGTTTTGGGGAACATGCAGGATGTCTAAAGGGAGAGGAGGAAAGGAAATAAAAGTGGTTTTCTGCCAATGGCACAAAGGCTCTTTTTATTTTCCTAAGCACCTATAAAACCTCCCTGGGAAAGGTGTAGGGGTGTAGCCACAACCAGGCACTGGGCTGCTGGGAGCAGCAGCTGCTGGTGAGCATTGCCTGGAATTCTGGATCCTGAGCATCCGTGTGCTCCTCTGCTCTCATGCTGGGAAAGCCTCCTAAAGCCTCCTACACAAACAGGGTCTGCATTGTGGCCAAGGTGGAGATGAAATAGTGCCAGCATATGCTTTATGGCAGGTAAAAGCCTCCCAACACCACTTCAGTGCCAACAGTGCTGTGATAATTCCTCTCTCCTCCACACCTTCAATTGTTTCACTTCTCAGCAACATATTTTAGCTCTATGGCTCCATTAGCTTTTTCTTTCCCTTTTTTTTCCCTTCTGCTTCTAAGCACAGGGTCATTGACTGCCTTAATCAAATCTCATATCATAATGAAAAGTAAAAGGCATAATGTAGCATTTAACAGACCAATGATCCCTCGTGCTGACTGGCATATGATATTTCCAAAAGAATGAATCTTCAGTGAGACCTGAATGGCTCAGCTCAGGAAGAATGAGAGGCCAAATTGTATTTCTAATCACAAACCTTTGCCCCATGGGGTCTGAGTTCTCACTTTAAGGACCACATCAGAAGATTTATGAAGCTTGCTGCTTTGTTCCCATTTTTAGGAACCACTCCAAGTCACACTGAATTCAATGGGAGTCCTTTCATTGACACGATCAGGCTTTGGAGCAGGTCCATAGGGAATGGCACTTTACTATGATAAAAAGAGAACTGCTCTGAAACTATCTGCATTTCCACTGATGTTCATGTAGAGTGGAAAGTGTCTCTTTCTGGACGAGTGATCATCCTGCACAGTCTGTAGAAACACTAAGCAGATGCAGCACACACCCAGTTCTTCATCCCAGTTCCTCAAAGTGAGGTAGTACAACACCACAGACACAGCTTTAAGAGCACTTTAAGATAAACTGAAGTTCTCAGCTTCTCAGCTAGAACCTTGCAATGCTGAACTCAAAGGGACCGAAGTGAAGACAGCTTTCACTTGGTCAAAATATCATTCTTTACAAAAATAACACTGAAAAATTAATTACAAATTACTGCCATGTTTTCCCTGGCTTTTTATAATTTTTGTGACCCAAATAAAGGTGATAAAAACAATTGTGTTAGTGTGTGTCAGTTTTCTAGTCATGAAAATCAGACCTGTGTAATGCTGTAAACACCTGCATCCCAGAGCCTCAGAAACACCTCAGATGTGATATCTGAGATATGTGTTTTTGTTGTGGTATCTTAAAACTACCCCTTCAAAGTGAGCTCTTTGTCATAATTACCAACACCTTCATTCAATAAATGACAAAAAGTCACTTGTTTCTTACTGAGTTTTTTAGCAATGGAAGTGCAACTAACATTGCTTCAGCTGGGCAGTAGCTCCTCTCAGAACCTCAAACACTGAAGAGCTCATCCTCTTCGCCAGAGGAATCCTGGACAACCAAACCACTTCAGTTATAGCCTGGAAATATTTTGTGTCCTTAAAAGAGGAACCTGAAATTGGCCAGAAATGAAGCCAGTTGAATTCCTGGTGCTTTTACCAATGTAATAAAGAACAGAAGATCTTCACTGCCAGAGCATTGTGTTACAGCAGCAGCAGCAGCAGCAGCAGCTGGGTTTGTCTCCTTCTCCAGTGAACAGCAAGTGATTCCATCTTCTCATTTCAGTGGGGTTTACAAGTCCAGGACACTCTGTTTCTTCACTACACTGATAAAAAAGGATGTCATTAAAAAGAATGTAACTGATACACACGGAGGAGAAGAAACGAGGCTGTCCATGGGAACACTGTGTTATCTCGTTCACTCCCACTGTAGCACACAATCAGTATTTATTTACTTGCAAGGGGAAGGTGTGCCATCCCAAATACCCTCCCTCTGATGGATGCAGGCCGCTGCTGGATCATGCTGTTTAGCTCTCTCTTTGGGGCTGTTTGTCTTTGGTTTTCAACTGTCTTATCATGATATATGTGTGCTGTGCATACCATGGCATGTCAGGCTGGATCAGACTACCACTTGTCACACAGAGCAACAAATTAAGGCAGAGTGAGTGAGCTGCAGATACATATCACTGGCATTGGGCAGTTCATAAAACTTAGTTTGGTGGAAAATATTTTGGTGTGTAGCAAGCATCCTTTGGATCATGTTTCCTTTTCTCTTGGCTGGTTGGAATTCTTTTTCATGTGTACAGTTTGAAACTTAAAAGGTAATTATACTATTTAGAGGTACATGTTTAAATTTATGTCTTTGTTGCTCCTGCTGTTCCCTGAGCAGATTAATTGTTAAAGTAGTCGTTGCAAAATTATTTCAACTCATTTTTGTTTTATTGCTTATTTTGCATTATTATGAGGAGCTATTATAAGAGGATGGGAAAACTCTTGGCAACTAGGAGAAGTTATCTGTGTATTTATTTAAAGGAAGTTATGCTCATAAGAGGGAAAAGAACATTTTAAACTAATATAAGAACCACTGAAAAATGTAGCCCTGATCTCAGTTTCAAATCCACCCAGGCATTTCTTTCAGCTTACACACTTCCCCAATTTGGGTCATAAGCACTGAAAGCTCCAAAAGAAAATAATTCCCCTTTCAGCCCCCATCCTTCCCTCTTAAGCCAGATGTGTTGTACGGAGCTCTGCAAACCTGGAGGATAAGAAGGGTCCTGAGCTCAGAGCAGCAAAGAGCCAGCCAGGATTCTGGGGCTCCTTGCTGGGCTCTGCCCATCACCTGGTTTGACTTCCCGAAGTTTGTTTGGGCATCGATTCAGGGAGACTCAAAGCCACGTGGCTGACTCCCAGCACAGGTAGTTTCACAGGAGTCAAGGGAAAACAATAGAGCTGTGAAACTGCTCCAGCAGGAGCTGCACGGACGTGTTCCCTTCGGGCTGGTGGCTGAACAGCAAACTGCAAAAATGATTCAGGTGAGGTTCAACCTGAAACACACAAAGTGTCAGCAGAACAGACATAAAAGCCCCCCCAAAGTTTCATTTTGGGTCAGCCCAGATTGCATTGCCTGATCTAGAATGGAAGTTTTCATATTGTTTTTAACCCAAAATTTAAACCAAAAAATATTCTAGCTGAGCAAACCCTTCATTTCAAAACTTCAAAATGAAACTTTGAGCAGCGACAATTCACTCTTTTACTGAGAAGTCTAACATTCAATTGACCAGATTATTTTCAAAACAGCAATGAAGTAAAATGGTTAATTTTGAAAACTAAGTGGTATAAGAAAGGTGAAAATTATATAGTTTATTTTGAAAATACTGAAATGAAACATTTAAACTTCCCCGAGAAAAGTATTTCCCCTGATTTTCTTTCTGACAAAACTCTGCATTACATTCAACCAGAATTTGTGAATAGTTTTCCACTTCAAATTGCACTTTTGGCAAATGCTGTCTATCCTGGAAAGGTTCCACCAGCTCTGTTGAAACTGGCACATGCTCACATACTTTGCTGGATAAGAGATTTCATCCTGTAAAATGGGGATAAGAATAAAACTTCCCCACTGATGAAGAAAAATCTATAGGTTGAGCTGTTAATGCCAGTAAGATATACATGTCTAAGGCAGACACCAACGTTTTTGGCTTCCTGGGGTATAACATTTCACAGAGAAAGGAATCCTTTTCTTTGTCTTAATGGGAACTAGATTAGGACTTCAGAACCTTAACTAGCTAGATGAACAGAAAGCTAAAAGACAACACAAGTCTAAGTCCTTTAAAATTATGCTCTAGAAGGCCTGTAATTTGCAGTATTACAGTGGAGCTGTTCAGCTTGGTTTGAAGTGATAAACGGGCAGGGGCATCCCGCAGAGCTGTGGCAGTGAGGCACAGAGGGGGGACCCCATCCCTGTCCCGCAGAAAACCACCAGGATAACGCTCCTGGCTGCTGGAATGCTGCCCCCATGCAGGTGCCACCTCACTGTCTCACTTGTCCTCCTCTCCTTCTGGCCAGGAGGGAATTTTCCTCTGGAAGCCAGTGATCAGAAGGTTTTGTGTGGAGTTTTCCTGGTTCATTGTATGTGACATGCTTTGCTGCAGCCTCGTAGCCGATGGCGGTGGGCAGGGGAGATGAGGCTTCACTGAAATGTGGAGCAAACACACACGAAAAGAAAACGGATCAAACATTAAAATGACAGCTTGCTGAGGTGGCTTGTTGTCGCAGTGGCTTTAGCATGATCATAAAGTGATGTGCAGTACTTGACATAGCTTGCTCCTCATGGGGAAATAAAATTGATGCTTAGTTTGCCCCCCCAGGCCGGGATTTGCTAAATGCACAAAATTGCCCACCTGGGTCACAACAGGTGTGCCAACAAAATTGAGAGTGTGGGAAGAGGGGTGTCTGTGCAGAGGGCTGGAATCAAACACCTGATTAAACTCTGTCAGATGCATTCAGAGGTTTGATCAATGATCCATCCTCTGCAGCTCAAGCCCACTGTTAATTTTAAAGGGCTCTTGCACCCCATGCAATGTGACAGCAGAGGTGCAGAAAACAATGTCAGAGTTGGTAGAAGAAAACTCAGAGCCAGAGGAAGCATTAGTGTTTTGGGCAAAATTCTGGCATCAGTAAAATCAATGGCAGTGCTCCCACTCCCTTCTGCAGTGCTGGGATTTCACCCTTTGCCTATAGAAAACCAGCGGATATGCAATCATAGCAATATCCATTACACTGGGATGTGTTTTGCAAAAGTGTTGGGTTTAAATTCTGAAAATAATTTCGACCGAGTTTTTGTTTGGCTCTCCAGGGTCAATTAACATAATTCCAGAACTTCTGGATGAAGTTTTGTACAGATCATTTTCTCTAATGCATGCATCTGTCATGAAATACTCACATCTTCTAGTTTCACTTAACTCCCTTTGAAGTTACCTGTATGCCTAAAGTTAAGCCTCTTTTTTAAATCTTTACAGAATCAGGGACATGGTTTTTGTAATTCTTCATTCAGCTGCTGTGGTAAGAGTAATAAAAAAGGGCTGTGATGTATGTAGAATTACATGCTGTGCTCTTCCTCTGAGCTGCTGCATTTCTATAGCTGTACAGAAAAAATCCTGTCTGCAGGGAATCTTGTTGCGGTTAAAAATCTATATTTTCGTTTTCTCCATTTGTTCTACAAAACTGAACTAACAGGCAAAACAAACATACATGCTAACATGCATAGAAACATTCAGAAACAGCAATCATACTGGGGAGAAACCTGGAAAAAAAATGCACTTGTTTTAAAATGCTTTTTTTTAAAGTCTAAAAAGGAAAAATACTAAGTGCTAATTACCACAGGGTGTGCAACTATAAGAGGGGATTTTTCATGGGCTTTGAGTAGGAATACAAGAAATGCTGTGTTGTTTAATTCACAAATAGCAAGAAATACTAAATTTGCATATTGGTTCCAAGAAGATTATTTTCTAATCTACAGAAATAATGTAATTATAATAAAACCTGCTTGCATAACATATTCTATTTAAAAGGGAAAAGATAACTTATCCTATCAGCTGCCAAATATTGAAGTCATCTCTGTTTCTAGCATTCCCTCGAAGCTCCAGGACTTCAGCTGGGAAAGCTCTTGGAGCAGTGCAGGTGTGGACATGAGCACCCAGCCCAGCCTCCCCACGGGAGAGAGACCATACCCACTGTCTGCAGCTGCAACTGGAGTGAGGAAGGGGAAAAAATGGTTTAAATGCCAACTTCCCAGTCCCTCATCTAGTATGGACAACAGGGGAAATTAATCCTCTATGTTTTAAAACTTCCAGCGAGCATTTCTCAGCTTTTCCCACGATTTATGTGTGTCCCTGGTGTGTTGAGGACTTCATGCTCAGCCACAGGGAGGTGTGACATGGCACTGAACACAGTCCCTGTGCAAAAGTGCACCTTTTGCCTTTTTTTGTAGTTAGGCAGCAAGGAAGCCCAGAATTCCCAGTTTTTCACCCAAAAGCAAGGCTTTGTGCACATGCTGTGCCAGGGAGGGGTGCCAGCCCTGTCCAGCAGCAGCATGGAGTGGACCAGCCAGGACTGTCACCTCCTGCCATGCTTTTACCAAACCTCTCACCTTCTGCCCCTTAAATCGATGCTTTTGAGCACCAGCTTGGCATGGTCTCATCCTGTGCCTTGCAAAAGTGGTGAGGGCTCCTGTAAATCCATAATGGGAGCTCTGCTTGACTAGCTGGGGTTATCCTACAGTAGCAGTTTCAACGTAAAATCTTTTCCATCACTGCTCCCCTTTTTTGAGTCTGTGTTTTTGAAATCCAGCACTTTATTCTTTTGCTCCAGAAATACATAAAATAGCTTAGCCAAGAGAGCCCTTTCCAGCTGGGAGGTGAAGGAGTTAATAATGCCCTTTCAAGCAAAACCACAAACAACTGGGGGGAAAGAGAGTGGGGAAAAAAAAAAAAAATAGAAAAGAAAAAAAAGAGTTTTTAACTGAGAAATGGAAAGGATCCAAGTTCTAACCGAGAGTAAAAGCACAGAGAGAGTATGAAACACACAAATCATCCTGGGGTTCAGAGTTGATAAAGTTATTAAAAAATAAAAAAGGAGAAGGGTGGGGGGGAGAGAAAAATCCCTTTGTTTCTGCCCTATACCTTGAGGCTGTGGGAGCGGAGGGAGGCCGTGCAGAACGAGTCCGACCGGAGCCCAGCGCTGAGCCCCATCCATCCCAGCCGGGCACGGGCTGGCACTCCCCAGCTCCCCTCAGCTCAGCTCCTGGCGAGAGCCGGGAGGGCTTGCTTACATAAACTACACACTTTTTTGTCTCTTTTTTTTTATTATTATTATTTTTTTTAATTTTAATTATTATTATTAGCAAGTGGGAGAAAAGAAGCTTCTAATAGCGGGATGCGGCCGGGGCGCGGGTGGGCGTGAGGGCCCTGGCCGCCATTGGGCCTTGGGCTTAGCAACAGCGCGGGAAGGGCCAACCCCAGCGCTTGCACGGCCGGGCCACCTGCCAAGGATGGGTGCCAAACGCTGCGCTCCTCTGCCAAGAAAACAAACAAGGGCACTTTTAAAAACCCACAGTTAAACAGCGTGGGGTTTTCTTTCTCCCCCCTCCCTTTCTGTTCTCTCCTCCGCAAACTCTCCTTGCGCAGAGTTAATGATCCCTTTCCCTTTGTCGCAGAAGTTCAAGCTAGGGGGAATTGTTGCTTGTGGAGGTTTCAGGAGTTGTTTCCCCTCTCCTGGATGTGGCAGGCTCCCGTCTCTGCAGGCTGCAGCAGGCGCTGGAGTCAGTCCTCTCTCTTCAGATGCTGCAGGTTCCCTCCTTCCTTCCCTCCCTCCCGGCAGGAATCTCTGCCGCCTGCGCTAGCACTGAAGCCTGCTTGCCACTGCCACGCGTTTATGGAACTTACATAATTTACTGCCTATGTCACTCTCTCGTCTGCTACCTCTTCATTCATTTCAAGCCTGTTAAAGAAGTGGAATAAGAAGCACAGAGATTTAAATAGGCAAAAAGTGGCTTGTAGCCACAAACCATTTTTTTTTTTCTGCAGAGGAAAAAGAAAGAATTTGGGAATTCTGGTCTCATTCTATTAAAGATATATTTTTACATTATATTTTTAGTGCAGTCTTTCTTACATATTAGTCTTTGTGATTGCTGAATTTGGGGTAGCGCCAAAATTTTGCTGAGAAGAAATATGAACTATGTTTTTTTACCAGCTGAGAAACATGCAGGTCCTTACTGTATCCCAAAATCTCTTCTTTCCCTGTGAAGGAGTAAAGCAGAGAAGTCAAAACCCATTTCCAAGAAACACCAACTCTCTTCAGGTCCCCGTGGCTTAGCGCCTGCCCAGAGAGAGTGCTCGCCTTGGATCCTGATGTGAAGCACTAAATGAAGAAAATGGGACTGACTTTTCTGTTGCTGTGGTTGTTGTTGCTATAAGACACTCCGTAGGAGGTGAAGCCAAACATACCTCTGGGGAAATATTAAACACTTCACAGAGAAAGGCCTAAAGAGGCAAATATTGCAGCCCTTTTCTCACGCCAGTCATCCCATTAACTTCAGAGACACTGCTCCTCTGAGTGAGGCTGGTGGGGTCAGGCCTTCATACACAGTAGCACCTCCAAAGGTTAAAGGATGTCATTTGCAGTCATGATCTTGTTTCACTTCCTACCTCTACCTCTGATTTACTGAGAAACCTCAAATAAATCACTTAACCTCTCTAAGAAGGAGTTTACTTAAGTGCAAGAACATTCTGGGCCTCCAACAATATTTGTGAAGTTCTTTCAGGTCCTTGGAGGAAAGATGTACTTGCAAATTATCAGGGTAGCTGCTTACATGGAAATAAATCTCAGTTTCTGTGTCTAAGCATATGTCCCAGCTGCATCCCAATCTCATGTCTCATAACTGTTGTTATAAACCATAATCTACTGGGATTTAATAGGGAAAATATGCAGGAGAGCAGCTTGAAAGGGCATCTCACTCAGGTGCAAGCAGGTCCTTGGTTCCAGAAAGCTGGGTTTTGGACCTCATGTATGGCACATTTCATCCCCAAAAACTTGAATCTGATGTATTGAGGAGTGTGTTTCTGCAGCTGCATTCTTAAACTGAACTGCAGTTCACTGATGTGGTACCCATGCTCCATGCACTATTTGCTTTCTCAAATTGCTCAAACATCTGTTATTGCAAAAAAAAAAAAAAAAAAAACAAAAAAACTTTGGGGAAGGTTTTTTTCTGAATAGCAAAGAAACACGATGATGGGAACTTGTGTGGTTGCAACTGCGCTCCCTGTCCTAGGCAGAACTAGGAAATATATGAACAACAACAGGAACCATACAAAAAAATAGATTTTGGGTAAAGGTTCAGTGCTGGGAGAAAAGGGAAGGGGCTTCCTTTTTATCTGTTCTGGTTCTGCTTATCTTTTACTAGAGGCTGTTTTTAGTGATGAGGAAGTAGAAGAAGAAATCCATTTGTTTTTCTGATGACACAGCAAAATACACAACCTAATAACTCAGAATAACATCCCTTCTGCCCTAAAGAAATAATCTCACAAAATTAAACCAAGACTTTATCCAGAGATTGCACAATTCAACAGTAAATTTCCATTCAACTGAAAAGACTTCGAATAAAGCCTTCATGTGGGAATCCAGCAAATTGAAGCAACTTCATAAACACTTGGTAATAATTCAGGACTAGGGTCTCAATTATTTTTCATTCATTACTTAGGTGAGCAAAGAGCTGCACATTTTGATGGGAATTTGGGACTACAAACCAGGACAAAATACTGTGGCACCAAGGGACCAACCTGTAAGCCTTGAGCCAAGAGAATGCACACTGAAGCACCATTTATCACCATTTATCACCATGCTTTCCCCGAGAACGGCTTCCCCTCCTGTGCTGCTGGCTCCAGCATGTCCAAAATAACTTCACCACCCTGTACAGCACCTTTTACAGCTACCTGAAATTGTATTTTATTTAAAGGGTACATAGTTTGTGTCAGTAATTCCCACAGACCCATAATTGTTTTTATAACACCTGGTTATAGCAGGTAGTATAATTTGCCAAGAAGTTGATATGAATGTATTCCATAACATGCTTTATATGGTCCATTATTAGAGGACATTACTGCATCTGTAATTATGCTTGCAAATGCATTTTATTGAGTTCTTCATAAAAGTATGCAGGACTGAAACCAGCTCTTAGGCTGCAGAAGTATATGTACACTCTGCTTCCTTCCAAGTATTTTTTTTTTTTTCTGTATAGGCAACACTACAAAGGGAAAGAACAAAATTTAACCTCGATTTCCTAGCAGACTCTAGCCCTTAATCCAAGAATCCTTGAACCTGGGGACAGTTCAGGCCTTCACTTGGAATCCTGACATTTTTATCAGCTTTGGCTTCTACACAGCAGAAGTGATTATGTGAGTTCTGGCTTCAGGCTGATCAAATCTTTCAGTGTCTCTTCTGCTGCTGACACCATTTTTGAGAGGACAAATTACATTTGGTACAGGCATACATTTACCTGCAGAATGCACACATCTCCTACAGCTGGTGGTAGAAATGGTAAATTTAGGCTGATTTCCCAACCTCCTTTTGGCACAGTATGAGCAAGAGAGATCCTGGGTTGATTGTCACATCCCAGATCAACTTTGAGTGACCAGCAGCCTTGGGAAAGGTGCTGCCTTCACTGCTCCTGGAGCCCATTTGGCTCAGTGCAAGCAGTGGAGCTTAGCTCCTTTCTACACATTTCCAAGAAAACCTCTCCTTTATGTTGTTAATTTGCAGGAGTCAGGCAGTTCAGACAGCAGCAGCCTGTTTTTACATATGGCCTTTACAAAAAAATGCCCTTTCAGTCTGGGTTGATTATTTCATCTGAAGCAGAAGTCCGTCACAAGGCCTTCCATACTCTGGGCAAATATACAGCCAAAATAATCTGCTGTGAGCCAGTTATCTCTTGTGTAGTTAAAAAATAACGAATATGTGAGTTTTGGTGCATTTTTTTCTCATGCATGGAAATGTGGTAAAAAGCCCAGACAAGGTAAATTAATGATAGTTCAAGCCTTTTTCCATTTATGGTGAACTTTCTCCTTCCTTCCCAGCCCCCCAAGGAACCACACTGTAAAACACTCTCTCAAAGAGGTTTTATCTCATTCTGCCTTGCCTCAATTTCTCCAGCTTCTCTAGTGAATATTTGTCTTTTCTACCTGCTGCCCAGTTAAATCAGCCTCAGAGGCAGTGACATATGCCAGATCACAGGGGCTGTCACTTTAATTCCCTGTGCTCATATTTTTCTCCTCTAGTGGGGTGCTGGGGGCAGATGTTTGGAGAAGGGACCCCTTTGCTGCCTGGCACACCGAAGTCCTCACGTTGGCTGCTAATTCTGGGAGGCGAATCCTGGCCCTGCTGACAGAGCCCAGCGTTGAACTGGCAGCTTCTCCCAAGTGCAGGTTCTAGATGTTGGAAATGAAACCTTGCACCCCACCTCAGAGTGCTGCAGGAGCAATTTCTCCCAGTTTCAACTCAACTATCTTGTTTAATTCCTGCCTGAAGGCACAGACAGCCCTCCACAAGCTGTGCATGTGAATGCTGGTCTGCTCCCATCCTCAGCCTCTAAAGAGCTGTTTTCCCACCTGGCAGAAGCTAGACTGGGACTCAAGGTGTTGTGGCCTCCACCCTTGCATTGCATGAACTCTGATGAGCTCCAAAGCACTCAGGGTCACTGCACTGCTGAACACCTTGCTCGGGGTGGGGACAAATGGCTGGGCAGGTGGCACATCCCTCCCAGGGCTCTGCAATGAGTGGTCCCTGCCCTGTGGCCACACCAAGCTGTAGATAAGCTAGCACAGTGCACCTTCTCTCCTCCTCCCAGGGAAAGGGAATCATGTCCCCTTCCCCTTTGGCACAGATCTGCTGCTCAAAGCCGTCTAAGGCAGGTTGTGAAGAGCCTGTGAGGTCTTTACCCTAATGGCTTTCATGGGAATCTTGACGTTAAAACCCTCACTGGGTCAAAACTGCAGTCCCTACCTGGTTTCTTAGGGTTGTCAGTAATTTTCTACCAGTCTAACTAAAAGAACCTATTCTTCTGCCATCACCTTTTCTCAGCAGAAAAGTGAAACCCTAAGGTTTCTGATGGTTTGCTAAAAACCTCCAGCCGCATAAACCTTCCATCTCTGGTACCATATGGAGCCCTAATCAAAGTCTTCTTCAGGGCGGTAGAAATTTAGGCCTTAACAAGATGAAAGCATGATAGGAAAAATTATCCATGATTTATTAATGGGCTATTTTGGGTTTTAAACTGATATTTATCAATAAAATATTGGAAGGAGAAAAAAATCAAATCAAATCAAAAATCAATTAATGCAGGCTCAATGGCAGAAGTAGCCAAATTGTAGCTCCTGCCTGGTGGTAAGGAGAAAAATAGGCCATGCCCTCTCTATCCTGATGTCCCCCTACACTCATATCAGAGGAGACCCTTACACACTTCTGTCCTGAAAAAGAAAACACTTTACTTTGGTGTTCTCTCAGGAAAGATACAGTTCCCAACACCACACCTTTCTTTTCAAGCTAGAACTTAACACCATCTCTAAACAGACAGTGATATAACACACATTTCTAAGTGCGAGCATCCAGGGAGTGATAAATTGAAGGTTTGGGTTTTAGTTACATTAATAATGCATATAGAAAAGCTATTTGAAAATAAGAAAGTGATACATTTTATGCTGTGCAGTTTGTGGGGCAGAAATGGAAAGAAGAAATTCAGTTTTACATTTCCTATGTAGCTCTGGGTCAAGGTGACTCTCAGCATAAGCTGGAACAACTCCAGTGGCAACCTCCTACACATCTACCTCATGTTGCTCCAGCTCCTCTCCCCAGCTTAGTCACTTCTCCAAGCATATTGTAGGGGAAGACCTGGGAGAGATAAGGCTCAGGATTGCTTGTCCCCTCCCTAGGATGGCCTGGGGCATGACATGGGGGCTCTTTCCACTCCTGTCATCCTGCCTCCTGATGCAAGTAAAGGATTTCAGTGGGAAAACTGTGCCTAAAGATGTAGCTGTAAATCGTGGAAGAAATGGCTGGAGCACAGCCTTCAATTTGTTATGACTCAAAAGAAAGCAAGCAAACTGCTTCTGCCGAACTTGGACAACCACACAAACCTGACATAAAAGCACTCTGCAAACACTGGCATTGATGCATTAATTTGCTCCAGCTGTCCTGGTACGAGATGGAAGACCAGAGGCATTTGGATCCTGCAAGGATAGGGAATGCATATCCAACTCTTCTCCCCTGCTCTGCCTTATTGTATGAGTGCTTGGTCCACCCAGGGAATGAAGAATCCCAGCAAAAGGCAGCTGGGAATGCTGCATCTTTCGCAAGAAGGGCCGCTCACACACAGGGTTGCTTTTACTGGGGGCTGTCAGGACAGAAAACTGCACTTGGGGATACTTTCCACCAGATGGGAAAGGGGCATTGCTTAACAAAGCAAGGCTACAGGCTTCCCAGCATACCACTGCACTGGCAATTAAATAAGCCTCTGAGCCACATAGGATTGTGCTTTAAGAAATTAGTGTGATTCAGAATGATTTGGGTAGAGGAAAATATTCCCTTAAAGGATCCTGCCTGGGCTTCTCAGTGCGTGGAGGGTGGGAGAGCAGAGTTTCCCAGTCCTTGTGCAAAGGTGAACTCTGCCCAGAAAGAAGAAACTCGAGCCCACTGCAGCCACCTAAGGGCATTCCACCAGCCAAAATGGAAAATTAATTAAGAGAGTGAATCATTTTCTGAGACTTACTCAGTTTTGTACTGCTTTAGTGTTCGTCTCTTCTGTCAGTAGAGCAGCTCTTGATCCAACACAGTGTTTACAGTCACGTTTCCATAGAGCCCTGGTGTGCAGAGCCAGCTGGTGGGAATGACCTGCAAGACCTGTTTATAGATCTCCATTACAGAGCCTCTCATTTTCTTGGATGATTATTGTAGGTGTCAAATAAAGCTAGATTACCTGTTTTATGTCTTAGAATGATAAGCAAGCCAAAGCAAGTCATTTGGCTCATGCAGTTATACAGGTATACCTAGATATACATATACATACATTACTTCAAGCACTCAAGGCAATCTTACAGCCTTTCTTGTTGGGATTTCGAAACCTTTTCATTTCGCCAAAATGTCCCTCTTGGTAAGGTGATGCTGGAATTTTGTCTTCTCT